CACTGTGTCGTGTTAGACAATGTGATATAATGGAATATGCGTACACCTGTGTTCACGCTCACTGGAATATGATTGGCTGGTGTCCGTCATAAATACCGACGGACGTGTAGGATAGTCAGAGATTTAGTCTGAGAGCTAAGTCTATAACGACGCCCATTAGACTACGCCATTGATCTACACTTCTTACCTGTGACTACGACGCGTACCAGTCGATTACTGCTACCGTATTCTATTTGGTTATAGTAGCCAAAACCACTTAGCTACTTCGTTCAAATATATCCCTTTCCGGGACATATCACAATGTTTCTCGCTAGAATCTAACTTGCAACTTTATAAGTCTAAAATTCGTTCGTGCATTGAATATTGTTACAACTGGTCTTGTGCTTCTGTCATGTATCTAGATTGGTTGATTTGCTCTTTTTTTTTCTTTTTTTTTACGGTTTACCAACATTTTCGTTACTTAAAGCCAGGAATTATGTTCAGATTGTAAGAATATTTTTAAATAATGATGATTTAGTGATATTAAGCCTTACCACTGTGTCGTGTTACGTGTCAAAGACTATAAGAGGGGGATTCATTCATTTCCCAAAGGGTATTTGCACGTAAGTGAATATAACGAACCCTACAAGAATTAGAACTCGGCTCTCCGATTAACAATTCTTAGTCCTTATCCATTGCACCATCAACCCATTCAAGATTACAGCAAATAGTATTCCCAAGCGATCTCGTCCTGGGTCTGACGATAAACTACATCTACCTCATGGGTAAGACGATAAACTACATCCATCAGCAAGGCTTCTGATCAGGAGGTTTTTTAGGAGCGTGAAACCACCTCTTAATTGCTGGTGTTCCCAGGTCCACCCTGACCCGGGGTGGTAGCACCTGTTAGGGTCTAAAATCCAAACTGGGGTCAAAACACTATGAAACTGTAAAAATAGGTTTAATACCGAAAATACTTTGTAAATAAAATTATCACTAGCAATACATTTTTGGAAGAAAAAAAAGATATTACTAGCTATACATTTTTGAAGAAAAAAATATTACCAGAAATAATTTTTTTCGAAGAAAAAATATTACCAGAAATACATTTTTGAAAAAAAGTATTACCAGCAATAAAAATTTTGTCGGCATTAAATACCCCTTTCAGGTTGATATGCCGTAAAACAAACCAAACCCAAGCGGTCACCCACCAAGGTATTTATCAGATCCGATGTTGCTTAATTTCGGTGATCACAGGAGAACTGGGGTTTAAACGTGATGTGGCCGTGATGTTGTTATAATCTAGAAATGTTGACAAAATCCAAAGATGTATCTGCAATTTTACCGGTCCTGACGTAGCATTTTGGTTTTAATCATTATTCCATCACCGTAATGTAACTTCCCTCTGCCCTTTCTATAAATATTTTATGGTAATTGTTCTGATGAACTCTTTTTGGTAAAAAAAGAAATGTTAGCATTGTAAATATTCTTTGGAATTTCATTTTTATAAGTTGTTATTTTAATCTCCCCTTTTCAACCTTTTCAATAGCTTTATTCAATTTCAGTCCAGGTTTCATCACAATCATGCATCTCATCGCTATCTTGTTTCAGATGTGTCTCGTTGTCATCCTTTCCTCTTATTCCCATCATCCTTTGCGTCAATACAAACCATTAGGGTTAAATAAGCATAGACAATTATCCAAAGTAAATTTCCTGAAAAACAGAAATCACGGTTACATGTAGGCAATTTCAACAGTAAAAAGATGAGAACTAGTTGCCAACCTAGTATGCACGATTAAATTCATGAAGTCGAAGTACCAAAGAAGTGAGTAATGTTTACTTTGGGAATGTAAAAATGTGGCACAAGGCCAAAAGAGGTGATAGAGGAAAGCTGGTCTTCAATCTATCTGAAACTTAGCTAGCCATGTTTACATACCACAATATTTCTTACACCAAAGCAACACATTCTTACTTACTATTCTTACTAAAGCCACTATAATACCTCAAAGTCTAGTCCTAACCAGTTCCCATATGGACAATTTGTCTAAATAAAAATACAATAGAATCCCTTATATCCGGAATCCTTCATATCCGGAATTCCTCATATCCGTAGTGCCTCAAAACCGGAATCCTGCATATCCGGACATGATCTTGATGTGTATGATTGAACTATTTGGTTGATATGTAACTGATTTGAAATTTCTGTTTTTCAGGATAATTGCTTATGCTTATTTCACCCTAATGGCTTGTATTGGTGCAAAAGATGATGGGAATAAGAGGAAAGGATGACAACCAGACACATCTGCAACAAGATAGCGACGAGATGCATGATTGTGATGAAACCTGGACTGAAATTGGAAAAGCTATTGAAAAGGTTGTCAGTTTTATGGAAAGAAAGCCTGCATTCAGTTATGACGAATGCAGTAACGCGCGTGTATTTCGTTTAAAAAATTTCAAGAACAAAAGCAAAATGAAATTAAGAAAAAGTTGAGAATGACATTAAAAAAGAAAGAATCATCACGCAACAGCGATTAAAACAAATCCTCGTTACATTATTTGTTTTGTATACGTGGCATACTTAATTTAATGAATTTTCATTAACATTACATAATTTATTTCTTTTTCCTTAAAATCAGTTCCGTTATATTTCACTCATTATTAGCTTATTTTGTATACTATAAAACATTGAAAATAAATGATAAACCTGATTTCATTTCTTTTATTTTAATCTAAATATAACCTCTCATATCCGGATTTTGTAACCAATTCCTCATATCCGGAAGGCTTTCTTAGTACGGTTGTCAGGGATTCTACTGTAGCAACATTTAAAAATGAAACCCCAATAAGAGAAGAGTTCATCAGAACAATTACCATGAAAGTATTTATACAAAAGACACAGAGAAGCTACGTTACGGCGGTGGGAAAGGCACTGTAGCCGAGATGCCAGGTCAGGGCCCAGACAAACATCTGATTGATACATTGGCTTGATACGCAGTGATCGATGGTGGATAGTAAGCGACATAGGATCAATCAATTCCAGTTAGCTGAATACTGTAATGTTCGAGCGGGTCAAAAAGGAACGCGTCCCTCAGGGAGAAGTCAAGCTGGCGAAAAAAAAAAAGATAGACTGACTACACTTTTTCAAAAGATAATGATATTAAAGTGTAGAAAGAAATGATTCTTCTTCTATGTGGCATGCCCCTTCAAAATGAAGGCGATCATGACTCTCCACAATTTCCTGTGTTTTTGTAGTTCTTAATAAATTTTGTCTTTTTGTTATTTTTCATAAACTTTGTTCCGCCATCCATTTACTCAAGCTAACTAACTTTTTGACGCCTTGTTTTCCACTGTCCCTCTTGCCTTCAATCTGTCCTGTGAGTATCAGATTTTCCAAGCCCTCTTTCCTCATCAGGTTCCTGAGAAATTCCAACTGTCTCTTCCTGCATAAGTGCCCAGTTTGTTTCCATTTTCTCTAAAATTTCGATGTTGCTCATATGTTCAGTCGATGGAATCCTCAGCATCCTCCTGTAGAACCTCATTTCTGCTGCATCAAGTCTCTTTGCTAATTTTTTGCGATAAAAAGCAACAGAAATTAAATTGAAATAAATACTAGCCGAAAAAAATACTAATTAATAGCAATGCTTCACCCTAGAAACTGTAATTTTTTTCTTCTTTCTTTATATGCGCCCTGGGTATGACGATAAACTACATCCGCGTCCTGGGTAAGACGATAAACTACGTCCAACAGCAAGGCCTCTGATCAGGAGGTTTTGAGGAGCGTGGAACCATCTCTTAATTGCTGGTGTTCCCAGGTCCACCCTGACCCGGTGTGGTAGCACCTGTGAGGGTCCCAGCTATGGGAAAATCGTTAACCCCACAACCTGACTCAAAACACTATGAAAGTGTAAAAATAGATTTTAATACCAGAAATACTTAAAAAAAAAATTAGTATCAGCAATAAATATTTAAAATAGAAAACATTACCAGAAATAAAAATCTAGTCAGCATTAAATAACCCAGTGAGGTTGATATACAACAAAACAAAACAAACCAAACCAAACTTTCTTTATATGCAGTGTCTCTTCATGGCGTGTGCGGTCATGGCTCTCTACAACTTCCTCTCAATTACAGCTCTTAGCAATTTTTGTCACTACCTCTTCCGCACCCTGTTCTGCCATCTATTTACTCAATCCTGTTAGATAGCTTACTCGCTGAATACCTTTGTTCCTCTTGCCATCAATAAATCCTGTGAGTGACAAATTCTCCAATCCTTCTTTCTTCATAATTTCCCCCAAAAATTTAGCTCCCTGCTTCTGATGTTAATTATAAGTGTATCTTTTTATTTCCATTCCTCGTTACTCACATAATCCGTCCATGGTATACTCGACATTATTCTCTAAAACCAGATATCTGTTGCCTCAAATCTCTTCTTAATCTGGAAGGAAATTGTCCAGGATTCACTGCCATATCTGAGGATTAATATTAGCCATTCAGCACTCTTTTCTTTGTTTTTAACGAAACCTTCCTGCATTTTCATATTTTATTTAGCTTCTAGGAAGCATCTTCCGCTATGACAATGCGCCTTCGGATTTCATAATCAAGTTCAGAAATTTCTGAATTTTAAATTCGGGGTTCGCATGTTGGGCTGTTCTTCTTGAGGACAACCATACATTCTGTGTTCTGTTCAGTTTATGGTTAGTTACTACTAATACTATCAGTTACCATTTCCACACTACCAAAGAGAAGTAAATAAGTAATAAAAGTGTCTGTGGACAGACCAATTCAAAACACTGTTAAAATTTTGGTCGCGTCTCTTTTTCATGGTTTCACAGTCTGCTGGCTTGTTACTTTCGGCAAAGTCAGTGCTTTGAAAGTAATGAGAGCAAAGGCGAGCAAAAGCTTTTTATTGTGACTTCATGTCCGCCAAACGCATAACCTAGCAACCATTGGAAATTTTGCAGCCATTTCACTGCGGATCGATGCTCTTTTACGGTCTTCATGACAAATAAGATAGAATACGCTTAGGCTCCATTCAACTTATTCCAAGATAGATAGATAGATAGATAGATAGATAGATAGATAGATGATAGATAGATTATAGAATGAGAAAGCAAGATATAAGCAAAATTATATATATATATGTGTGTGTGTGTGTGTAGAGAGAGAGAGAGAGAGATAAAGTATGAGATGAGAAAGAGAGATAAAAGCAGACCGAGATAGATAAAGGATAGAATGAGAAAGAAAGATATAAGCAAAATTATATGTGTGTGTGTGTAGAGAGAGAGATACAGTATGAGATGAGAAAGAGAGATAAAAGCAGACCGAGATAGATAGATAGATAGATAGATAGATAGATAGATAGATATGAACAGATAGATAGATAGATAGATAGATAGATAGATAGATAGATAGATAGATAGATAGATAGATATGAACAAACTGAGATAGATAGATTGATAGATAGATAGATATGAACAGATTGAGATAGATAGATAGATAGATAGATAGATAGATAGATAGATAGATAGATAGGGCAAACTTGAACCTTCGTACCCACAAAAGAACGGAGTGTCAAAATTATAATGCTATTATTTTAACTACCTTCACTCCTCGGCAATGTTTTTTTGTTTTAAAAGCCCATGATTCGAATTGCAATAAAAATTTGCATATATGATGAAAGTGAATTTATACATAAATAGTGTTTATTATTTTTGTTGTCAAATCTCAAAAACAAAGAAAATGTATAAAGTCACTCTCAGTCACATATGTTCAGATTTTATTACAATTCTAATCATCGCTTTTTAAAAACAATGAAGTGGAGGCATTAGAAATAATAGCGGTGCCAATGAAACGTCCGCTTAACGCACCGTATTTTTTGCGGGCACCAAGTTCCAAGTCTGCCATAGATAGATAGATAAATAGATAGATAGATAGATAGATAGATAGATAGATAGATAGATAGATATATGAACAGATTGAGATAGATAGATAGATAGATAGATAGATAGATAGATAGATAGATATGAACAGAATGAGATAGATAGATAGATAGATAGATAGATAGATAGATAGATAGATATTAACAGATTGAGATAGATAGATAGATAGATAGATAAATAGATAGATAGATAGATATGAACAGAATGAGATAGATAGATAGATAGATAGATAGATAGATAGATAGATAGATATGAACAGAATGAGATAGATAGATAGATAGATAGATAGATAGATAGATAGTGTAAAATTATTCAGGTTTCGAGGCGAAGAAATTTTAATATCAATTTTAATATTTTATCAATTTTAATATCTAATTAATTAACTGATTAAAATATGTAATATCTGAAAACATTATAGTCAGATGTAACAAGGTCAGGTGATTACGAAGTTTGTGTGAAAATTTCTATATTTAGTGCCATAATACTTCCCTGGATAACTAGGGTAATATGCAGCCTTGCATTATCTTGTAAAAGCAATACACCTTTAGGATTATCCAATGGTGGCCGCTTTTTTCTGCAAATATTTTGTGCTATGCTTCCATTAATTTTTTCGTTTCGCACTCCATGATAGAGACACTTCATACATCACTAAACACAAAGCGTAACATTTTCGGGAGTAATCGAGGTTTGAGGAGGAATTTTTCTTTTTCAGTGGGTGCAAACCATTGTCATTTTCATTAGATATGATTATAGTAGTAGTAGTAGTAGTAGTATAGTATAGCTGGCTACTCGTATTCAATGATACCCGTCTATTAGGGCGGCTAGCCAATCCCTGTTGCTGACGCTCGCTCAGGAGCATTTTTGTTTATTCAACACCCACAGAGTGGTTTATACTGCAACTATGCTGAACAGACCTTAGTTACATTTTCTGGGAAAGAGCGTGTTATCTAGCGTGATCAACATAGCTGTACCAACCTTACAGCAACCGCCGTCTGTCAAACTCTCTGCATTAGCAGAGAGGAACCCGGACGAAGCTTTGCCGAAGGGCAAGGTTTCGTTCGGGGAGGTTATGACAGCTCTCGAACCCGCCTAGGCGGGTCGAAGGCTATATTTTTGGCCGGGCCTACGGGCTCGGGTGACCACGTAAAACTCGGCCTTTTGCCACATACGACCCCTCGTGGGGGGACAGCTAAATATCTAGCGTGATCAACAATTTGAACAAGGCCAGCACGTTCAGGCCCTCGTGACTTCGTGCTAGCACAGCTATCGACGACACCCAAGGGTTCCGTCTACCCAATTTCGTAAAACATGCCTTAAAACAAAACAAAACAAACCAAACCAGCTACACTATCAATGGTACTATACCAACTCTGCTGTTACGAAAGGCTAACTAGACCAAACACCAATGAAAACTAACGAAAGAGATCGTGTTTCATCTGGACAATGCTCCAGCACACAAGTCCTTACTCTCAATGGCTACTGTGCGTGACTGTGAAACCCTGTTCTGATTTGGCTCCATCTCACTACCATCTGTTCCCCAACATGAATAACACTTTGCTGGGAACGTCTGCTATTGATAAATTTTTATCAACAGAATGAAAGCTTCTTCACCAATGGGGTTCAAACACTGCAACATCGATGGAAGAAGTGTTAGGAGGGGGGAACTATGTTGAAAAATAAACCTCATTTGGTCATATTCCATGAAAGTATATTGGTCAGCCTATGAACTTTTCAGCCCATCCTCGTATATCGAAGTTTCACTTGTATTAAACAATTTTCCTAATGTTTGCTTGGGATTTACCTCAACTACGGTTCACAGAAGCTTTGTTATTGGCAGAACTTGATCGTCCAGATTGAGATGAATTTAGAGATTATTTTTTCCCAGTCGAAACTGACCAAATCATCGTTAACATATCTGGATACTTCAGTCAGATTTCCAGAGACGAACATTTCTTGCTGCTTCCGTTACTGAAGAACCCTTGTGAAATTCATGCTGTATGAATTCAAAAAGGTCTCTCATGCAGTCTGTTGAGATGTTGTGAGTTTCCCGCGTGTCGGTGTGTGAATCAAGACAAACACAGTTGTAGAGGAAAATACTGGTATATTTGTAAAAGCAATTAACAATAGAGTGATTAGTAGAACGAAGGTTGGTTAGTACGAAACAATATCCAAAGTCTATAGTCCAACGGTATGTAACGGGTAAGCTTATCTGGACTGCTGAAGCTCTGTCTCTCGCTCTCTCGTCTTCTCTCTAGAGCTGACTTATATAAGAGGGACCAGTCCATTTCTAGTTAGAAGGTGGGTGCGCCCCAACACAGTCTAAGCCGGGTTTGACCTAAACTCGTTTTAAATGGGTTAAATCTGTAGTAAAATAAGAGTTTACTCTTTCTCTTTGTCTCCGCTTGTTATAATCAGTTCTTGACACAGACACTAGATAGGGTTCAAAACAGATTTATTCAACATTGGCATTTTCTGATAAGTTCCACAACAGCACAAAGGAGCGTAACTTATTGCGAATGAATATTTCTTGCCGCTCATGTTGAGGAAGAATCTTTTTTGCATTAATACAGTGTCTACTATGGATCTAATCTAAAGTCATTTTAAAAGGGGTAAAATCGATACAAAATTTACTTATTCTAGTATAAAGTACCAAATCCAAAGAAGAATGTGCTATGTTATTGGTCCTAACCTGGTTTTTTTCTGCTTCAGTCGATTTCTCACCCCCGTAACGTAATTTACCTGTTCCTTTTCTATAAAGACTTTCATGATAATTATTCTATTCAGATTTGAAAATGTGAAAAATCATTTGAATGGATATTTTTATCCGATATTATTTCTTTATTACCATAAACAGTTCCATTGATGCATGTTCGAATTCAACTAATGTCAGCATTTCGAATGCTGATTTTCAAGGAAGGAATCCTCTTGAAAACGTGTTAATACATAGAATAAAACGTATTTAAACAGGCAGAACTTGTCTTGAAAAAAAAAAAACAAATGAATTCGTATGCCTAAATACACCCATGGCATATATATATATATATATATATATATATATATATATATATATATATATATATATATATATATACGTCTGTGTGTGTGTGTATACAGGGTGTACCGAAAATAATTTTACAAACATTGTAAGCGTGTTCCTCACCACAAAACAAGGACAGAAATTCACATAAACACATGTCCGCAAATCCCCCGTTTTGTGATGAGGAACCCGCTTACAATGTTTGTAAAATTATTTTCGATACACCCTGTATACACACACACACACACACACACACACACACACATATATATATATATATATATATATATATATATATATATATATATATATATATATATATATATATCGAATAACACTGCTCAAGGCGATTTTTGGTGCCAAGAAATAAAACATTTTTTAGCTAATTTGATGGTGCTGATTCCGAAAATGATCTTAGTTTTCATGGTTAGCTACTGATTTTGCTGTACTGAAATTGCTCATTTTTGGAAAAAAGATCAATTTATGATCTTGGCTGGTCGAAACATTTAGTTAATAAAGGTCGTAGAAACCCATCAATTTTCAGGTAGACCGAGAAATTTATTTCAGCCACCTGAAATAAACTATTTTTATAAGAAAAACCTGTTTTGAATCCAAAATTTAAAAATAGAAATACCGATTTTTTCCAATTTATCGCCAAAATTCAAATTAACTCATAAATTTTATTGGTAATACTCTTTAGTAAAACTGATAATTAAGGTGACATAAAAAAATTAAACCCTAAAATCTTCTGCTTGATATTCATGAATTTATCACATCACTAGGAAAGGAAAGCAAGCACATTGAGAGCATTTTGTTTTCACAGTTGGAAAGAAACTCCAACTGAAGACATTCCAATTGAATTCACCTATTCAATTGTACATGATACTGCTGGAGTATCAAAAGAGATTTAAATAACTCCGAACATGACAGACAATCAAGAAAGAGAAAACTTTCTACCATAGTTCACGAAGGTTTTATTTCTGCTGTTAGTTTATTAAATGATTTGATGAAAAATACTTGTTGGTCTTGGTATATTCAATCGTGTTATTTTTAAAGACTTGTGATTGTTATTGCAAAAATACTATTTCCCAATAAGTAAATTTGTTGGTTTAAATACGAATTGAGAGGATTCTACGATTTTATTTTGAGAAATATTGGAAGCGGTCAATATCATATATACAGAAAACAAATGAAAAAAAATGTTTTTTATAAATGAGGCATTTTTTTTTTAATGAGGCACTTCTGTACAACAAAAAACGGAAGCTAACTAAAAAAAAGTAAGGTCATTTTCAGATTCAGCGCCCTCAAAATAAGTAAAATGGAGGTTTGCTGTCTCGACACCATTTCAAAATTTTTTGTTGTTGACCATGCGTAATACTCGCTCGAGTAATACTTGTTCGATAGCAATCCGAAGAGTGATTAGTATAGAGAAATAGTATAGAGAAATAGTATAGGGAATTACAGTCACTTAGACGCCACGCTAATTCCCATATATACCTTTCCTTTACGATCACGTGGTCTACTTATTAGAAATGGAATCACCTGTGTTTGCTCACTGGTGATCTGTGTTCAAACTCCAGTGTCGGCAACGACACTTTATCCCTATACAACATAATAATAATAATAATAATAATAATAATAATAATAATAATAACAAAAGCTTTATCTAAAATATGTGTAGTCTTTCTTTGATTTTATAAAAATGGTCAGTGGAAATGTCACGAAGCCATTTCTGACCTTGGGTTTCTGGTTGGTACTCAGGAGAAAATGTGTAGATCAAAGAAAATCCAAGGAAATAATAATAATAATAATAATAAACACTGGTATGAACATCGGCCAGCGCCGGTTACAGAAATAGAAGATGTCACCATTCTATGGGATTATACCATCCACACAGACAGAAAAATTGAAGCAAATAGGCCGGACATTATTGTCAAAACCAGAAAAAAAAAACTTGCCTACTAATTGATATGGCTTTGTCCAGCGGATTGTAACATAACAACCAAGGAATTTGAAAAACTATCAAAATACAAAGACCTGGAAATTGAAATAGAAAAAATGTGGAAATTGAAAACAAGAATAATACCAGTGGTAATAGGTGCACTTGGAATTATAAAAATGGAACAAAACAACACATTGAAAGAATCCCTGAAAACCCCAGCTTAAGAGACATACAGAAAATTGTCTTATTAAGTACAGCACACACACTAAGGAGAACTTTGTCTATGTAACGCTAGCAACTTCATCGGAGATAAAAAAAAAAAAAAAAATTAACATGAAATGTGGCCATAACAACACACCACGACCTGCCTTAGGTCTTTCCGCAGACTTGGTAGGTAGTGTGTCCATAGCAGAAATCGAATGATGATGATAATAATAATAATAATAATTTATCCCTATAAAACAACATGAATACCCACGAGCCAGTTGAACAGACTTTACAAAAACAAACCGGGCCCTGTTAAGAACAAATTAGAATTAAAACCTTGTTAGCTTTAAGAGCCATTGTCGTCCTCAATTGTCTTTGGGTCTTCTACAAATCTATATTATCTAGTTTCAGAAACATAAAGTAATTTTTGAATGGATTTTTTTAGCCGACATTATCTCTTTATTGTAATAAACGTTATTTTTAGTGGAGACACATATTTGAGTTGATATCCCTGTTGTTTAATGTGAATTTAATAACAAGCGGCCAAAAAGATATCTTTCTAATAAAACTTCTCTTTCTCAGTTCGAGGGCCGGACAAGGGCAATTTCAAACAAGATCGCATTTTACCTACACAATCTTACACGTATAAAAAAAAGAAATTATTTTTTCTAACTCTAAAACGTAAGCCGAACACTTCGATCTTATAAAAATGGTTGCAATATATTGTCCATTAATTCACCAAAACGGCAGGCAAAATTCCTGTCCTTCTCAAACCGACCGGTCACCCCTTTTGTAGTTTGTGTTTTTGAACGTAAAACGGCCTGCCACAAAGAAGACATTAGGGTTACATGGTTAGGTAAGACAGTCACTGAAGCGTCTAGCATGAGGCGACGAACAATTGTATCAGGTCTCAGCGCAAAAGCATTAGCCGATTTGGTAGGGTAGCTACCGGTATGAGCCCCGGTCATTGAAGATCTCCACAGGCAAAGTTGCGACTTAAAAACTATACCAGATATGCGAGCATTTAACGCATAAGAGTATTTAGATAAATAACTATACATTTCCTAAGCGGAATATAAGTAACATATAGCCACGCATTGCGTATAGATTGTGTCTTTAATTCAGATACACGTACATACACGTATGCAAGCGTACACAAAGATAGATAGATAGATAGATAGATAGATAGATAGATAGATAGATAGATAGATAATGAACAAATTGAGATAGACAGACATTTGTCTATCTATCTCAAATATCTATTTAGATAGATATGAACAGACTGAGATAGATAGATAGATAGATAGATAGATAGATAGATAGATAGATAGATAGATAGATAGATATGAACAGACTGAGATAGATAGATATGAACAGACTGAGATAGATAGATAGATAGATAGATAGATAGATAGATAGATAGATAGATATGAACAAATTGAGATAGATAGACAAATAGATAGACATGAACAGAATGAGATAGATAGATAGATAGATAGATAGATAGATAGATAGATAGATAGATAGATAGATAGATAGATAGATATGAACAGACTGAGATAGATAGATAGATAGATAGATAGATAGATAGATAATGAACAGCGAAATACGTTTATACAAGGGCGGGGCTGAAATGCGCTTGGCCCGGCCCGACCCACTTACAAAAATTTAAGGAAATGACAGATTTTTTTTCTCGGTTGAGCAGAGCACTTTTCATTCCCTCTTCATATATACATCACACATACATAAGTGGTGGTATGTCAATTTATCAGTTGTATTATATATATATATACATGATGGCTGTCGACTTGTTAAACGAATATTAACATCAGTGACAAGTTCGATCACTGTTTTTGGTACTCATGTATACACACATACACACACACACGCACATATATATAATTTAGCTCTTGAAAATTTATTTCAATTGAGCACTGTTGAATGACGAGCTAATTCTACAAACAACAGCCACCTGCGTTAATGCGAAGCTCTTCGGTAAAATGAATGGAGCACTCCGGCTGATTGACATTTGTTTACATTTGTAAAAACAAATTGCTAGATTCAGCTGCCACATTCTTTCGAATGGAGATAGCTCAGTGGTAGAAAATCCTGACTTGAGACATTCGGTTGTCGAGTAGCATTGAAGAGCTGTGATACAGTGAAGCAGTACTGTCTGCGAGTGACACACACACACACACACACACACACATATATATATATATGTGTGTGTGTGTGTATGTATGTATATACGAAGTCTTGTGAAAAAGTATCGAGACTGCTGCTACAAAAAAAGTAAACAATACATTTGGCATTTAATGTCCTTTAAAATAGTTCCCTTCTGAAGCCACAGACTTTAGCCAGCGTCCTTTCCATTGTTTAAAAAATTCCTAGAACACCTTTTTTTAGGATACTGAGCACGCCGTGTCGCATTCTCTTGTATTCCATCGACCTCTTTAAATCTCCTTCTTTCCAAGTGGAATTTCATTTTTGAAGAATAAAAAGAAGATAGGGGCGTGATCTGGGGAATATGGTGTTTGTCGAACCTAGAGAATGTTGCCTTCGACAAAAAATTGCTGGAACCTCTGTCTTATGGTGAGATGCTCTGCACACTTTCCTTCGACGCACTGCTATAAACAACAGCCTCAATACTTTTTGATCATATCTCATAAATGTACATACATATATACATACATGTGTGTGTGTGTGTGTGTGTGTGTGTGTGTGTGTGTGTGTGTGTGTGTGTGTGTAACAGGAGAGATATATGGAAAAATATTTATTCTCCCATTTGTATTTTCCCGTTATAAGTATTATTACATTCGTGACATAATAACACCGGACGAAACGGAATCGCTGGAGGGAAAAAAAAATGACAAACATGCTTTGTTCTCAGAGAGACACTTATACTACTAAAACATATACAAAACTATATATACATGTATTCCACGCAGAGAAAAATAGATCATATATATCAACACAGCAAAGAAGAGCGTAAGGAGGAACGAAAAGGAAGAGTCTTACATATAATCTGGAGATACTCCTGTGTCTGGAGAAGCCACGTTTAGTACTCCATATTCAAACGGGCCGAATTCATCTACAATTTGCCAGGCGATGACATATGGCGAGGACATATTCCACGAACGAGAAACAGCGATTCCCAAATTGAGGACTGTGAGCTGGAGTGTTGACCTCAATTTCCACTTTTGTATATATTTTTTATTTTGTTATTTACAGACAGGAGTTAATGTTGTTAATTTTTCTCAGTTTTTTAAATTAAGAAACGCTCATAAATATTCATAAGGTTAGCTGAAATGTACAGTTAAGTTATGGAGGTCTCTAAGTGACATAATTTAATGACTAATAAACGAAAGTGAATAAAAGATGTTCTTGACATTTTTATGCAAATTAATATTCTATCTGAAATTTTACACACAAATACACACACACATACACACACACATACACACACATGTATATATATATATATATATAGAGAGAGAGAGAGAGAAAGAGAGAGAGATAGATAGATAGATATTGAAATCGTCAGATAAAATTTCATCTAATAACTGTACCAGATCAGATTATTAACTTATTGATCTACTCTTGCATACATATATATAGTTGTGCTAGCACGAAGTTACAAGTCATCGTGGCCGGTGTTTTTAGTGTGCTAGCATGGTGCAAATTGTTGACTACCCTAGATAACACGCTCTCTACCAGAAACTGTAACTAAGGCCTGCGGTACAAACAACAGTTGCAGTACAAACAACAGGTGAGTTCTGTGGGTGTTGAACAAACACAAATGTGCCTAAGCGGGAGTCGGCAGTAGGGATTGGCTAGCCGCCCTAGTAGATGGGTATCCTCGAATACAAGTGGCCATCTATTTTATATATATATATATATATATATATATAATGTGTGTGTAAATGTACGTAGCACTATAGGTATCTATCAGTGCACTTTTACATTTGTTTACGCATCTAGATAGATAGATAGATAGATAGATAGATAGATAGATAGATAGATAGATAGATAGATCATACATATGAATGACTATTTTAGTATTCAGCCACATTCCGGAAACTCCATACACTAGCGATGATCAGAGGCGAAAGTTACTAAATAGTGCCAGCGAATAGCATCCTAAATGGCATGTAGCCGAGATGAAAAGCCCGCAAAATAGCCATGACTAAGCGGCTTGTGGCGCGCGAATCTTGGGTTGCAGGAGAGAAGGAGAGAATGAGCGAAGGTGCGGTCACCGGATATGGAGGTGATTTGAAGGATCCGTTTTCGCATGGCTGACGACGTCCACTCAAGCGTCTTATTCTCTTTCTGCTTAATGCTCGACCTTACGAACTGGCATTCATTCACTCTTGATTACTGATTAGGCCGGCCGATTGAAATTGGAAATCTTCGCCATTCGTTAAAATCGGACCGTCAACCTGATTCCTCAACACCCACCCGTCTTCGTGCTATTCCACTGCTTTCGCCACTCCGCTTCGCCTTTTACCTTCAACCCAAAATGGCGTAACGGTTTAATGATATTGTAAGTCATAGTGAGGAGAAAGGAGATTTTGCTTTTGAAATTGCAGGAAAGAGACATTGGATGATAACAATTTTTGCATGTAAAATCAAAACACAAAATATGGAATACGAAAAATTATTACATGTCGTCTTTGTAATCAACTCTCTTATGTATATTCGTTCTGTCGATCATACTATCTACGAATCTGTAACGTTATAGCTCCTGACATGGCATCTCGACTTTAGTACCTTTCCCACAGCCGTAACATAGCTTCCTTCTTTCTTTCTTTCTTTCTTTCTTTCTTTCTTTCTTTCTTTCTTACTTCTCACTTGTGGAATTCTCTCCCGGCTTCCTGCTTTCTTGTCAATTACTATCTTCAAAAATTTAAATGCAATGTCAATCATAATCTTTTGCCTCATTGAATCCTGTTCGTTTCTTGTTCCTTCTGTTTTTCTCTTTCAATAATCTGGCTTGTTTGGCGAAAAATGACTTATCATATATATCTTCAAATATAAAAGAACGAAGAGTAAGATTTCAGCGTACAAAATATTAATTTAAAACAGGGTTCAATACAAAAGTAGAGCAATAAATATTTATTTATTATGCAGTGTTACATTAGAACATGTACATACCCACTACAAAACTGAACATCTTGTTTCAACGTGGAAAATTTTTATAACGTTTCATCAGGTGGGAAATCACGATGCAACTCAAATAGCATCGTGATTTCCCACCTGATGAAACGTGAGAAATTTTTTTTTTAAGATGTACAGTTATGTAGTGGGTATGTGCATGTTCTAATATAACAATGCATAGTATATATATATATATATATATATATATATATATATATATATTGGAGAAATTGTATGACAAAGTGCAGATGTTTAATTGTGGTGCGGTTCGTCCTTCAGGGCTTCATCGGTCTAAATTTGTTATATTGGTAGCACTACACATGCGCACAAGAGAAAAGTGCTGAAAAATTTAGAATTTATTTTTTTATCAGTCGAATTCATGTAGTGTCTTTTTCTTTTTCTTTCCATCACTTTTGTAAGTAGGTATTCTATATAATAATTTATGTATAGTCCTACCAACATAACAAATTTAAAACATAATCGCATATATATATATATATATATATATATATATATATATATATATATATATATATATATATATATATATATATATATATATATATATATATATATATATATATATATATATATATATATATATATATATATATATATATATATCGCATATATATATATATATATATATATATATATATATATATATATATATTATATAATTTGACCAATTATCAATGGACATCCTTGAATCCTGTTCATTTATTGAACTCTCTGTTTCTTTCACTCTCAGTAACATCTTGCATCTTGGTGGCTTTCACAGACTGCTTGGGGTGAAATGATTAAAAAGATGGATTTATCTTCGAGATGAGTGTTGTAACCTTCTCGATCCAAACAAGAAGCCCTTAAAAAATTAATCTTCGATAATTTCCTGCAAATATTTTTACTTTTCGAATCTCAACATGGTCGATTTTCCTGACGTTATCGGTTTGGAGAAAGTGCCTGAAAACCATACTACGGCTTGATCCAAGCTTTGTAAGTGAAATTGGGTAGACGGAACACTTGATAGCTGTGCTAGGGTTTGACCGAGGGTTTGAACTTGACCAAGGGTTTGAATGAGCTG